TGTACATAGGTCAAATGTTGAAAATTAGAGTTGTTGCATTTCTTGTTTATGCTTTGACCCGTATTTGACAAGCGAATGAAACCAATACATATTCACCCCAAATAATGGCCACTTAAAGGGCTATACGATTATGGTGCTGAGTTAATGGTTATTGACTGGATAAATATTAGCTGCATAAATAAGTCGTTTAATATTGCGTACACTATGGAAACATAATTTGGTAAAACAAAGACCAGGCCGGAGCTTTTAGGACAACATAAAACAAATATCAAAACGGAAAAATATCCTGTGGAATGGGCTGTATAATGTAATATTTTAGGTTAACATTATGGATAAACTGCTTCCCCCAACAAAATAAGACTAAAGGGCAAAAACCTACTGATTTTCCTGGTATTTATTATTTGATACGCCAAAACGTGACTTTTCGAAATAATGGTTCTAGATACCAGATCTGGTCCGATTGCGATCAAACTCGATACATCGTGATATTATTACCAAACCTAGATTGAATTCGGAGATGAGCAATATCGGTACACTCCTTCTGGCAAAAATGTCAATTTCTATACCCTCCACATAATATTGAGGGTATATTAAGTTCGTCATTTCGTTTGTAACTCATCGAAATAATTATTTTGAGTTCTAACAAAGTATATATATTCTTGATCAGCGTAAAATTCTGATACGATTTAGCCCTGTCCGTCCGTCCGTCTCTATCAGTGTGTTGTAATCCCGCTAGAGCCAAAACGAATTAATATAGAAAGCTAGAATTTTGAATTTATCAGTGATTTGTCTAGTGGCAGTCCAAGTTCGGAAATGGGCTGTATTAGCCCACTATATCGTATATACCCCATATATCGGTACCTACCTGATTTTAGCGACCTGGAATGGTGTGAAACCCCACACAATGAGTTCCTTTGAGTACTTTATCCCCTGGAAGATAATTGTCCATATAGGTCCACGATATCTTATAGGCCCCAAGCAAGGGTTCTACCCCATATTCGGTACTTTGATGATTGTAGCGACATTTTTTACCGGAATGGTTTAAAATTTCTCATTTAAAGTTCGTAATGGGTACTGCAGCCTATGACAAAAAATCGTGTATGCAGGTTTAGGTCTTCGTATGGACCTTATATAACGATACCTCCCGATATTCGGTATTTTGATGATTTTAGGGACATTTTTCAACGGAATTGTTTCAAATTTTGGAGATGAAATTCGTAATGGGTAATACAGCCTATGAAAAAAAAATTGCGTATGCAGGTCCTCCTCTTGGTATATACAATATATAAAGCTTTTCATTAAAACCGTAATTTTTGACAACATTTTTTAAAATTTTTCAAGTTCTTTCCAAATGCTGGAGGATAATATTAAAATTTCGGCCTGGGCGAACATATGTTCTTTTTCTCTTTTCGATTTCTCTCTTTCTATTTATATTCTCAGTCATATGGCTACACAGGGCCTTATCGAAATAACGGCTTAAGACCCCTAAAGTCTCTTTGGACTAAATCCGTTTCAGGACATTTGAAGTCGATCTAGAGGTGGCCACGAAAAGTTTCGATTTATCAAAACTTGGAAAATCGTAATATTATTATTAAACATACATTCAGTTCGGAGATGAGCAATATCGGTCCACTCCTTCTGGTACCTTCCCCACAAAAGGCCAATTTTTCAAAAGTAATTTACCTCATAACAAGTAAAAAAACATTAAGTTCGGCCGGGTCAAACTTTTAATAACCTCCACCTTAGGGTAAAAGAAACATTAGAAGAAATGTGGCAAAAACCATTAAAATGCCGAATATCGGGAGGTACCGTTATATGGGGGCTACACCAAAACATGGACCTATACATGCAATGTTTTGCCACACGCTCAGGGACCCGTTATGACCTACAAGTACCAATTTCCCGACAAATCCGTGAAAAAATGTGGCATAAATCATCAAAATACCGAATATCGGGAGGTACCGTTATATGGGGACTATACCAGAACGTGGACTGATAAATCTCATTTTCAATACCAACCATCCTAGACACAATGCAAATAGCTCTGCTAAATTTTGGCGCTCTACGTCAGATAATGTGGGCTGTATCGTGATTTCAACAGACAGACAGACGGACATCGTTAAATCGACTTAGAATTTTATGCTGATTATGAATATATATACTTTATGGGGTCTAAGACGAATATTTAAGGATGTTACAAACGGAATGACAAAGTTAATGTACCCTCCTTTCCAAGGCGGAGGGTATAAAAAGAGAAAAGATCATTTGATTTGGTGCAGACCTTGCAAATTCAAATATTTTTGTTAGTGGTTGTCATGTGCGAAAATGGATAATGTCGGCCCACTCCATCCCCACAAAGGCTCACAATTTTGAAGAATTATAACTCTTACAAAATGTGAAATGAGGGTCTGATACTAACACAAGAACTCATGAGACGATGGGATATAGCAGTTCATTTCATGTACATCCCTCATAACGGATCAAAAATTTGAATAACCATGGCGTTCATAAAAAGCGATATGAGCATCCGATTCCTTTCATCCTAATATTTTCACCAACACAAGATCTAGTATGAAGATGGCATACATACGCTTAACCCTTTTGGTACTTCATATAAAATATGAATTAAGAGTCCGATTGTCTTCAAGTTTTGCACATCTCAATACCTTTACCAAAACAAAATCTGGTGTGAAGATAATAGATATCAGGCCACTCCTTCTAGTATCTTCGCCACAAAGGATCAATATTTTGAATAAAAAAAAAACATTCATACAAAGCGAAATAAGTATCAGATTCGCTTTAAATTTCACACAGCTAAATACTTTTACAAAACCAAGACCTGGTGCGCAGATGGACTCCTTGACCCACTCCTTGAAATATTACACGAGGCTCAGTCTTGGTGTGTAGGCGTGTGAAAAGGCTGGACTTTTCCTGGACAAGAGGAGATGATTTAGGAAAATAGTATTTTAATTGTACGAAAAGAACTAAATGGTACTAAATTTGGTATTGGGTGAAGGGATAGGTTTGAAATTCGGAAATTTGATATGGATGAGTGGACTGAAAGACCTAGAAGGTATAAGTATCGAATTAATGGTTTTTGTTAAAATGATAAGTGCTAAAATTCTGAAATTTGGAATGAGGGTCGCTGATGTGGTGTAGAATAGTTCCATTTTTGATTTTTATTCGAAATATAAGAGTATTAAATTTTTGTTGTTGCAAAGAGTATTAAAATACTAAAATTGGTTCCATTTGGTATTATATGGACGGATAGAGCTAAAATCTTGGCATTTGTTATAAGAATTAAGAAGTGTTGATATAAGAATGTAGTTTTCGACGTGTGTAGTAAGAGTAAGAACTGTACAAAATGGTACTAAATTTGGGTCTGAGTGAACGGATTGCTAATGGTACTATATTTGATTTATGAGGGAGGGTTGGATTTTGAAATCTGACATTTGGTATTGGAGTTATTTTTGTGAGATCTGAAGACGGTTCTGAAAGTATATACTACAAAAGTATAAAAAGCACTATACGGTCGCTGTTCATATGTCGCGGCTGGACATATGGAGGTTGTTTCGGAAATGTGTTCTATAATTTTACAAAAAGTACTGAATGGTACCAAATTTGGTATTGGAGAAAGGGATAGAATTGGAAATCTAAAATTTTGAAAAAGGGTGTAGTAATGATGTTGTGTAGGGTAGACGAACTAAAGGGTTTTTTTAAATTCGAAAAATAAGTGCACAAAAATTACTAAAGTTCACTAAATTTTGTACTATTTGGAATTTTGTAGAATTATGTTAGTACTTTTCGGGCAAGTGTAGTACGCGTTTCCAAACCTACTTCCAAATCTCAACCTCAAATACTAAAAATTATTTAAATATTAAAATTCGAGAATTTTATCTCTATTCCTACACCCAATACCAAATTTAGTACCATTTCGTACTTTTGTACAATTATGGTACATAGTTCCAAAACCACGTCCATATCTCAATTTCAGATACCAACAGAGACCACCATACCAAATTTGAGGATTCCAGGCCTATCCCTTTACCCAATAGCAAATTTTAATTCTTTGCGTACAAATATAGGACGCATTTCCAAACTATCGCCAAATCTCAACCACAAATGCCATCAGTAATACCTCACCCAATAGCAAATTTAGTACCATTTAGTACTTTTCATACAAATATTGGACGCATTTCTAAACTATCGCCAATTTTCAAACGGTAATCTAAATATCAAATTCTAGATTTTTATCACTATCCCCTCTTCCAATACCAATTTTAGTACTATTTGGTACTTTTCGTACAATCATCATACACATTTTCGAAACCACCTCTATATGTCCAGGCGACACATGAAAAGCGACCCCAATACCAAATTTCCGATTTCATGTACTATTTGTTCACCCAATACCAAATTTTACCAAATATAGTACTATTTAGTACTTTTCGTGCATTTTTAGTACACATTTTCAAAATCACATATTTATCACAAACCTTCTGTTCACAAGCTTCATCTGTTCACCCCAAACCAAATTTCTCCAAATTTAGTACCATTTAGTACAATTCGCACTCAAACTTACTTTCCAACCTTGGTTATACCTCATACCAAATTTCATGGTGTTTGCTCTATCCATTCACATAATACAAAATGGTACCATTTTATGTGTTCAGCACCATTTTAGAACTTTTCTTAACCTTTAAATTCGAATTCCACTAACCACACTATCCTGCACTACAACAGTGACTCTCATCCCAAATTTTATTTGTGGGTGTGGAATAACTCCTTATTTCTATTTGCTTTTTCTAGGGCCAGAAAACCAATACGCGATGACCTCTATTGAGGTAAGTTAGTAAGTAAATAAGCCCCTCATCAAAAAATCGTTGACTTAAATACTTAAAAACTTTCAAAAAAATCTCAAAATCTCAAAATTTCTAAAAAATTTAAAGCCTTTTTTTAAAGATCTCTTAAATCCCCAAATCCTCACAACGGCTTTGCTATTAGTTTTGGTTCGAGATATCTATTTTTTTTATCGACAAGCACACCAAATACAAAACAATTTGACGAGAAAATATACAAATTACTCAACTCGACATTTCAGAATTTTGTTCCCAAATCGAAAAAAGGTATCATTACAATCTCACATTACATAGCATCACCGCCATCTCCATCACCACCGCCAGTAATGTGTTGGGTTCTGGACGTATTTGAAGTTCTCACCGTCATTCCGCCATTGTATTGATGTGGTATATCTAGATTTTCAACACTTCGAGGACTTATACTATCCGAACTCATTTCAAAATCATCGTCAACCTCATCGTAATTTTCCTGAAACAATTCTCTATTTATACGCAAGGCTTTTTCCTGATGATAACTGGCCATAACATCACCCGCCGCCCCGGAAGCTCTTGCAGCACCACATTCCTTATCATTTCTCAACGTCATTTCGGACATTTTTCTGGCGGAGTTGGGGCCATTCTTAAGTTCTTTCATTTCAGTGAAAAATCGTTGAAATTGCTCGAGAATTTCCCGAATACCATCTTCGGAAGATTTTCGGCTTATATCATTGCGATCATTGGATAAGGACTTCTGGGGATCCTTGGAGGAGCTTTTGTTATTTATGACACTACGACATGTGCATGGAGCTGGTATTGCATCGTTTTCCGAAGAATTTGGTGTTTGGTTATTTGGAGACTTTGTGTGGACAGCACTCAAGCGTTTATCAAGTTTGACGGGACGATTTTTGCTGGGCACAACCGCTGCCGACATCATTGTCTGATGTTGATAGAACATTTTGTCATATTCCGATTTCATGCAAAGGTAGCGAAAATGTCGGGAATTTTCTTCCCCATAGTGGGAAATTTCTGGAAAGGTAAAAAAAAATTCACTCAATATTGGAGACTTACAGAATAATTCAATAGGTTTGTATGTTATATTTTAATAATTTTGGAAACTTTTAAATATATGAAATAAGTGGAGACTTTTGTCACCAAAGTTAACTATTGATATTTTACTCACGTCGAGACTACATCCACATTCTTTAAAAATAACCTGATATACACACGCTACTTTATAAATGTGGAGACTTTGTATACACCGATTTTTAATTGGGAGACTTTATTCACAATATATAAGTAACCTGGAAAATTCATCCAAACTCTTGAAGCTACATACGATATTTTTATAAAGTGGAGAGTTTATATTTTCCATTCTATTACTATACTATAAAAAGTCTCCACTTTATTTCAATGACAATTATAGGACTTTTTCCACAACTTACAAGTAACATGGAAAATTCTCTTGTAGCCGTATACACTATTTTTATGAAGTGGAGAGTTCATATTTTTTATATTTTCCATTCAATTACAATACTATAAAAAGTCTCCACTTTGCATATGCTATTTTTATACTATAAAAAGTCTGCACTTTGCATATGCTATTTTTATAAAGTGGAGAGTTTATATTTTTCATAAAGTGGAGACATTTTATCAAGTTGGAACTATTTTCTTAGATGTTTTATTAAATGAATGAAGGATTTTGCCTCTTTGTCTTATAATAGGCTTGAAATAAAGTGGAGACTTTTTCATAGTATTCTATTGACATGGAACATATGAGAAATACGAACTCTCCACTTTATAAAAATAGCGTAAAAGCCACAAGATTTTGAAATAATTTTCCATGTTATTATACACTGTGGATAAGGTCTCCCAATGAAGAAACTTTGTAGATACAGTCTCCACAGTCATCCTCTTTTCGTCAATGTGGTGACCTAGTCTATGATACTTTTGTGTGTAATGAGGAGATTTTACCGGTGATATTTTATAAATGTAAAAAATAAAAATCCACTTTGTATTTTATAATTTGGAGACTTTATCGATGACATTTTCGTAACTCGAAAATTATATCTAAGAAATGTAGTGGAGACTTGATGGCTTACACCACATAGTTATAAGTTCTTTGTAAGGCCTTTGTGCATTTGAAGGAAGCTAGGTAGGCACATAGTTACTTTTGAGCATCTTCATAGAATCACTTTCTGAGTCGATTTATGCATGTGAGTCCATCTGTCGGTCTATCCGTCCTTATGTCCATGTATTTTTGTGAATTAAATGCAGGTCGCATTTATTATCCGATTGAGATGAAATTTTACAAACAAAATTTGTTTAGCCCAAGGACAAGACCTATTGTAATTGGTGAGAATCGGACCATAACATATCTTCAGCTCCCACATATATATCTTCAACCGAATTATGGTTCATTGTGCACCAAATGATCAGTACCAGACCAAATGACCAGAATTTTGGCACATCCGACCGAATTTAGACTAGAAGCATATACATCAAATTTAGTGGAAATCGGTTAAGATATAGCTCCCATAAATATGTTAAATCGGATTTGGGGGCTTAAGTCCCTCACATGCGTAATATGCATTCCACAACAACAATCTTTGGTCCAGTTATCAGATACAGCTCAGAAATAAGTGTTTACAATTTTGTCAAGATCGGTTCAGATTGGGATATAGCTCCCATATATATATCCTTATCCGATTTCAGGTTTTTTATTGTGACCAAATGGCCAATATCAGTCCAAATGACCTGAATTTTTGGCACATCCAATCGAATTGAGTCTAGAAGCAAATACATACATCAAATTTAGTGAAAATCGGTTCAGATATAGATACAGCCCAGAAATACCTCTGCCAAATTTTATCTGGACCGATATCAGATTTCTTATGCACCAAATGGCTAACATCAGTCCAAATGGAGTGAATTTTTGTATATCCGACCGAATTCAGTCTAGAAACCAGTAGATCAAATTTACTGAAAATTGGTTCTGATAGATTTATAGCTCCCATATATATGTCTCATCCGATTTGGCGTTGAAGTCCCTTACATTCATAATATGCACTCCTCCACAATTATATTTGCTACCAGATATCAAATAGTGGTCAGAAATACATCTGCCAAATTTTATCGAATTTGGATATTTTATAGTGATCAGTGGTATTATGTACTCTTCTTTATTTATATTGCGGATAGCTCTACTTGATGAGTATAGTGGTGTAGGATATCATAAAGTCGGCCCTCCCAATTTTTCCACTTTCTTTACATGTTTTACGATAAATCTTCGTTATTTCTTTTTTTAGTGGTTGGAGACTTTATCTGCGAGATTTTAGTAACACGAAAATTAAAGCCAAGCTCTCCAACGTAGGAAGAGATTTTATTTATTACGATGAAAGCTATAAGCTATATTCTAGACATAAAGTGGAGACTTTATACCTAATATTTTAACTGAGAGTCCATGTTTGCGAACTGGAAGCCAGAGAGTCCATAAAGACAGATTGGGGACCAGAGGTTCAATATAGATAAGCTGGAGGGTAATATGCCCATTAAGATGAGCTTGTCGCCAGGGAATACAAAAAGACGAAAAGGGGGGTATTTAGTTCATATAGACGAGCTGGAGGCCCGCGAGTCTTTATAGAACAGCTAAGTGCCAGAGAGTCTATATAGACGTGTTGGAGGCCAGAGAGTCTATAAAGACAAGATGGGGACCAGAAGGCCAAGATTGACGAGCTGGAGGACCTGAAGTATATAAATATGAACTGGAGGCCAGGGACCTTAAATAGACGAAAATAGGAGTATTTAGTTCATATAGACGAGCTGGAGGACCGTGAGTCTATATAGAACAGCTGAATGCCAGGGAGTCTATATAGACGTGTTGGAGGCCAGAGAGTCAATGAAGACAAGATGGGGACCAGAAGGCCAAGATAGACGAGCTGGAGGGCAAGATGTGTATAAAAATGAGCTGGAGGCCAGGAAGCCCATATAGACGAAAAGAGGGGTATTTAGTTTATATAGACGAGCTGTGTGCCAGGGAGTCCATATAGACGTGTTGAATACCAGGAAGTCTAAATAGACGCAAGTTTATATGGACGAATTGGAGGCCAAGGAGTCCATATAGGAGATGGTGGGCTAGGGAGTCTATATTGCAGGCTGGGAAGTCCATATTGACAATGTGTAAGTCAGGGAGGTGATATAGACCGGCTGTAGGGCCAGGGAGTCCATATAGACAAACTGGTGGGCTAGGATGTCCATACAGACGAACTGGTGGGCTAGGATGTCCATACAGACGAACTACTGGTCCAGGATGTTCAAATAAATGAGCTGGTGGACCAGGGTGTCCATGTAGAAGAGTTGGTGGCCAAGAAGGGAGGGAGGGGATTCCTTTTATGGGAGGGGTTTACTTTTATGAGAGGGGGATTTTCCCTATGGACCGATGAACTCCCCATAAACCGGGGAATTTCCTCCATGGGATTCCACTATGTGCTTGGGAATCCCCCCCTTGGGCAGGGAAATTTGCAACGGGTTCGGTCTTCAACCTATTTTTGTAACAAGGAAATTTTTTTCAATATATTGGAATAAAGTGGAGACTTCAAGTGGAGATATTTTTAAGCTCACGCAGCTATTTTCCTAATGTGGAGACAGCCTTAAATCATTTTCGTAAAGGGGAGACTTTCTTATAACATGTAGACTTGTTCATAATGAAATATTTGATTAGGCAAATTTTGGCCAATATGGATTTTTAAAACTAATTTTTAATATGTAGACATTCTGCTCTAAATTTAATCATGTGGAGACTTTCTACAAGCTCTTCAAAGAAGGTAGCAACTATTTTCAAATTATTCTATTAATGTGGAGGTCTTTGTCATAATGACTTTCTATAAGCTATTATAATAAAATGGATTCATTTTAAACTCACTCCATCGATTCAAAATAATGTGTAGACATTCTTCAATATTCTTTTAATAATGTGAAGACATTCTTCAAGGTGTATGGAAATTTTTTATACCCTCCACCATACATAGTATGGAGGGTATATTAAGTTCGTCATTCCGTTTGTAACTCATCGAAATAATCATTTTTGATCCAATAAAGTATATATATTCTTGATCAGCGTAAAATTCTAAGACGATTTAGCCCTGTCCGTCCGTCCGTCTGTCTGTAGCGTGATTACAACAGACGTGTAATCACGCTACAGTCTAAACGAATTAAGATAGGAAGCTAAAATTTTGCACAGATCTCTCTTTTGTGTACAGGCAGGTCAAGTTCGAAGATGGGCTATATCGGTCCACGATATCGTATAGCCCCCATATAACGGTACCCTCCGATATTTGGTATTATGAAGATGTTAGCCACATTTTTCAATGGAATTGTCTGAAAATTCACACAAGGAGTTCCTTGTGGGTATTTTATACCTCGGCAGAGAATTATTTATATAGGTCCACGATATCGTATAGCCCCCATATAACGTTACCCCCCGGTATACGTTATTTTGACGATTTTAGCCACATTTTTCAATGGAAGTGTCTGAAATTCCACAAAAGGAGTCCCTTGTGAGTATTCTACCCTCTGAAAAAGAATTGTCTATATATAGGTCTACGATATCGTATATCCCCCATATAACTGTACCCCCGATATTCGGTGTTTTTATGATGTTAGCCACATTTTTTAACGGAATTGTCTGAAAATCCACACAAGGAGTTCCTTATGGGTACTTTATACCTCGGAAGAGAATTATCTATATCGGTCCACGATATCGTATATCCCCCATATAACGTTACCCCCGATGTTCGGTATTTTGATAACTTTACCCACATTTTTCAACGGAATTGTCTGAAAATCCACACAAGGAGTTCCTTGTGGGTACTTTATACCTCGGCAGAGAATTATCTATATAGGTCCACGATATCGTATAGCCCCTATATAACGGTACCCACGGTATTTTGATGATTTTAGCCACATATTTCAACGGAAATTGTACACAAGGGGTACAATTTTACTTTACCCCAGACAGAGAATTCTTTATATAGGTTAATGATATCGTATAACACCCATATAACGGTACCGCCGATATTCGGTATTTTGATGATTTCGGCCACATTTTCAAATCGTATTGTCTGAAAATCCACACAAGGAGTTTTTTGTGAGCACTTTACCCCCTGAAAGGGAATTGTCTATATAGGTCCGTAATATTGTATATCCCCCATATAACGATACCCCACGATATTCAGTAGTTTGATGATTTTAGCCACTTTTTCCAATGGAATTATCTGAAAATCCACACAAGGAGTTCCTTGTGAGTACTTTACACCCAGACATAGATTTGTCTTAATAGGTCCACAATAACATATATACCCCCATATATCATTACCTTCCTATATTAGAAATTGTAAAGATTTAAAATAAAATTTAATGGATTTTATTTTTTTGAAAATTTTCTAATTCCTTCCAAATGGTGGAGGGTATTCAAAGTTCGGCCCGGCCGAACTTACTGCTTTTTCACTTGTTTTTTGCTAAAATCAAATAGCTTAGCTCGTCCTAAGTTAACAATGAGGAGACATTTTCAGGGTATCACATGGTGGAGACTTAGTGTATGTTATATTCGTTTAATGGAGACTTACTAATGGTTAGATTCGTACATTTTTTCTAAAGTGGAGAGTACTTGTATAAAGTAGACATTTTACTAGGTTTTAAGAAAATGGAGGTTAAGTATAAGCTAGCGACTTTTTCATGTTATTGCCAGAACGTGGAGAATTTTTTCTCTGAAACTTTTAGAATGTAGGATATTTTATCAGCTAATATCATAACATGAAGACTTCCGTCGAACTACTTTAGAATCGTACAGGTTTTTATAATTTATTTTCATTAAGTGGAGACTTTGTTGAAGGTAATTTCATAAGCAGGTCCCAGTGGCAAAAGATGAAGAATTATTGTAAGATACAAATTTTTAAAGATTTTGTTAAATTGGAGACTAATCTCCATAAACAGGTCAAATCCTCAAGGGATACTTTTGGTACGTTTGTATGTTATCTACAGGGAGATTTTATTTTTTTTCACACACTGGATATTTCCTCCGTATGTACTGGATATAAAAGGTTTCATGAAAAATTTTTATTAAAGTGGAGATTTTGATTCCATTCACAATATTTAAAAGTTGTTACTTCATAAATAGTGGATTGTGAATACAAAAATATACTTTGAATTGGAGACCTTATTAATTGTACTTACTATTATTCAGTTCCATGTGCATTTTCTTCATTTGGTCATTGGTGCTTTTCAGCTCCATGGAAAAGCGGTCAATCTTTGAACTCAGTTCCCGGAAATTGCGATTCAATAACTCCGAAATCGATTTCTACAAGGACAAAAAATACAGACACTCAAAGTCTACACAGAACTATAATTCCTCTTGACACTTACCCCAATGGCATTCTCCACTGTTTGACGGATAAGTTGGAAAAACTCTTCGGTATCGTCGTCCTTATCCTCATCCTGATGGTGAGGCTGATGATGATGATGATGATTGACATGCTGATGTTTGTTGTGATGCTGTTGTTGTTGCTGATGTTGATGCTGATGGTGATGCTGCTGTTGACCATCATTACCAGACGTCACATGATATTCCTTGTTATGTTCAATGTATGGCCTATAGGTTTTGTTGTCATAATATTGATTGGTAGCAGCACCACCAACACCACCACCACCTCCAAGGCGAGCTGATTTATCATGGCCTGATGCACGAGAGGTTTTCAACATTTTTGTGCTATTGTAGTCCTTACCAATATCCTCCTTTTCTTTGTTAGCACCAATCTTGTGGGTAGCTGCTACGGTGATGGGTGCTGTCTTTCCATTTGTACGAACTGTGCTTCTACGTCTGGAACTATTTAAAGCCCCATTGTTGTTGAGCGCAGATGATTGCGGAGCTGGTGTTGTGTAATATGGAGTATTGGAATTAATTATGTAACCATTGTCATGGACATTCGTCTGAAATCCTCCATTCTTGGTGCTGTTGGCTACGGGTTTTGTCGTCTCGAATTTTGTTCCGTAGACCTCTTCAATTGTTCGGCGGGATCTTTGGCGTACCATTTTTTTTGTTAAGATTGGACTAAGAATTGATAGTTTTGCGATGGTAAGAAAATTATATAAAAAAAGTTTAAAAATATGTGAAGAGATTGAATTGAAAGAAATGATAAGTCTTGAATATAAAACTATTTGAAAAAATTAAACAAAAGTTAAATTGATTTAAAAAGAAATGAAAACGAGACCACCAAAAATTTGTCATTTAAAAATTTTGAAAATTGTACTTTGTAAAAAAGAAGGAGTGGTGTAGGGTATCATAAAGTCGGCCCGCCCGACTTTAAGACTTTATTTACTGTTTTCTTTTTTTTTTGCTTTACAATTCCAAGTTTGTGGGTCTTTGAAAAATATTCTTAACACAAACATCCGTTTGCGGATGCATCCAAAAATAATTTCTCAAAAATTTTGTGAGTCTTATAAAAATTTATATTTTTATGTTAACGATTTTTTCTCGGATGGTCTTAAAAATATTTTTTAAAAATATATTTTAGTTTTGAAAAATATTTAGTTGTTAACAAAATTTGTTTGAAGTCCGCAATCACTACACAAATGTCAATCTTGAACATTTGTCTCTTTTAAGATATTTTACACTATTTGTGTGAAGATGAATACCTTAAGCTAGTTTCGAAGCTCTCGATCGATTTCATATCACAGAATGCGAGACAATTCACATTTTGTGACATATTTTTCATCAGCTAAAATGCTACTTAAACAACAATACTTCTACTAAATCTATATTTACCAAAAATATGTTTAAATTCATTAAACATTTCCTCCAAACCACAGTCTCCCGTGATTAATTTTCGTGGAAAACCCCAATTTGTCGTGTTGTGTCATACGATACCAACTAATTCCCACCCACACTAGGTTCCAAAACAAAAACAATAAATAAATCTAAAGATCATTTAAATTTGTTTTGAAGTGTCTGTCGTACAACAAACAAATCACACATCAAACATGTTAGGCGGTCTGCTCTGTTGTTGGGTGTTCTGCTAATGATTAAGTACCGTCTCATTGGCAAAAACACAAAAAACAGAAAAACAAAACTTTTTAGGTGACTGCATAAATTTGAAACGAAAAGTTGGATCATGACGTTGGCATCGTGCAAACCATTCTGACAAATAGAGGAGGTCTGACGAAAAAAGAACAAATCATTCAATGACAATTAGTTGGAATTGGCGCTTCGTTTTTTTGGGGTTTTGGTTGCAGTCTAATGGCAAAGTGATTGACTGCCTGGCTGCCTAGCTAGTTGGCTGACACATTGTCTGCTTGCCACCGACTGACTGGTGTTACTCGGCCGAGGACATAAATCATTTTCAGTCACAGGAAAAAAAACGACAAAGACATTGAGGAGCAAGACTAAAAGGTGTACTTCATATGTCAGCCCATGCGAACGAATGTTCGTGGAAGAGCATCAAGATTTAAATCTTGATTTTTGTTGGAATATTTTTTTTTTGTCTTCCATGAAATGCAAATCTTTTTTTGGTGTTTATTTAACAAATTTATTTTGATTAGTTCTGTGAAATGCTAGAAAAATTTTGAAGAATAATAATAATCTAAAACAAAAGATTTTTTTATGAACTTCAGGAATAAAGGGATCTCTATAATTTAAAAATAATATCATTTAAAAGTCCAGAATACATTTTCAGTTTATCTTTGAAAAATATTCAAAACAAAAATAAAAATTTATTCATTTGAAAATCCAGGTTTGATGCCAAAATGGTTTGTGAAAAATCTAGGATTTTTCTGCATATAACTCCATTAAAAAGACCACGTTTGGTCCTATAAAATATAATCTTAAAAAAAAAAATAACGGGAGTTGGTCTAAAAGTTTTTGAAGATATAATTTAAAAAATCCACGGTAGATAGTTTCCAAGCCGCCGAAACAATTAAACATAGGTCACAATAGGCCTTTATTTTTTTATCCAAAAAAAAATAATAAAATAAAAACATATTTTTAAAAAATCAACATTTTATGGTCCTTTAAAAATATTTCCAAAGAATTCACATTTTCTTGTTCCTTAAAAAACTATTCTTTAAAAAATCCACTTTTGCTGGTCTTTGAAAAAATATTCTTTAATGAATCCACCCCTGTTGGTTCTTTAAAAAATATTCTTTAAAAGGTGCACTTTTGCTGGTCCTCGAAAAAAATATTTCCAAAAAAATTCACATTTTCTTGTTCGTTAAAAAAAAAAAAATTAAAAATATACCTTGAAAAAATATTTTTTTAGGAATATTCTATGTAATCCACGTTTTTTAAGTCCTTAAAAAAATATTTTTTAAGGAATCCATGTTTGTTAAGTCCTTGAAAAAAAATTTTTAAAAAATCCACGTTCGATTGATCCTTGAAAAAAATATTTTTTAAGAATCCACGTTTGATAAGTCCGTGAAAAAATATTTTTTAAAGAAACCACGTTTGTTAGGTCCTTGAAAAAATATTTTTTAAAGAATCCACGTTTGTTAAGTCCTTGAAAAATATTTTTTAAAAATATCCAGGTTTTATGGTCCCTGAAAAAATATTTTTAAAAAAATCCAGGTTTTATGGTCCTTGAAAAAATATTCTTTAAAAAATCCAGGTTTGATGGTCCTTTGGTCCTTGGAAAAATATTATTTAAAAAATCTACGTTTGATGGTCCTTTGGTCCTTGAAAATATATTGTTTAAAAAATCCACGTTTGATAGCACTTTGTTCCTCGACAAAATATATTGTTTAAAAAATCCACGTTTGATAGCACTTTGTTCCTCGACAAAATGTTTTTTTTAAAAAATCCACGTTTGATAGCACTTTGTTCCTCGACAAAATGTTTTTTAAAAAATCCACGTTTGATGGTCCTTTGGTCCACGAAAAAATATTCTTTAAAAAATCTAGGTTTGATGGTCCTTTGGTCCACGAAAAAATATTATTTAAAAAATCTACGTTTGATGGTCCTTGAAAATATATTCTTTAAAAAATCCACGTTTGTTGGTCCTTTGGTTCTTGAAAAAATATTCTTTAAAAAATCCACGTTTGTTGGTCCTTTGGTTCTTGAAAAAATATTCTTTAAAAAATCCACGTTTGTTAGTCCTTTGGTTCTTGAAAAAATATTCTTTAAAAAATCCACGTTTGTTAGTCCTTTGGTTCTTGAAAAAATATTCTTTAGAAAATCCACGTTTGTTAGTCCTTTGGTTCTTGAAAAAATATTCTTTAAAAAATCCACGTTTGTTGGTCCTTTTGTTCTTGAAAAAAATATTCTTTAAAAAATCCAAGTTTGATGGTCCTTGAAAAAAAATTCTTTAAAAAATCCACGTCCTTGAAAAGATATTATTTAAAATATCTCCGTTTAATGGACTTGAAAAAATATTCTTTAAAAAATCCACATTTGATGGTCCTTTGGACCTTGAAAAAATATTCTTTAAAAAATCCACATTTGATGGTCCTTTGGACCTTGAAAAAATATTCTTTAAAAAATCCACATTTGATGGTGGTTTGGACCTTGAAAAAATGCTATAGAAATACACGTATAATGGTCCTTTGGTCTTATTATTATTATTTCAAAAATCTACGTTTGATTGGTCCTTGAAAAAAAATATTCTTTAAAAAATCCACGTTTTTTGGTCCTTGGAGAAATATTCTTTAAAAAATCCACGTTATTTGGTCCTTGAAAAAAAATCTTTTAAAAACCCACGTTTCTTGGTCCTTGAAAAAATATTCTTTAAAAAATCCACGTTTGTTTGGTAATAGAAGGAATATTATTCAGAAAATCCACGTTTGATTGGTCCTAAACAATTTTTTATCTTAAAACATCTACTTTTGATGGAGGTGTTGCCCGTCAATAGTTATTAAAAAAAATCTGTAAATTTTGTTCTACATTTCTTAAAAAGTAAAAAAAAAAAAAAAATGTTTTCATTGTTTGATGAAGACCTATTTGTATGAACTCCAAGGTACGTGTTGATTTTTAAACAAGTGTTCGCTCAAAAATAAATCCAACATTTTTTTGATCCTTCATTGTTTATTGTTTTTGTTCTCATTCGGTATTTAAAAGTAATAAAAATTTATTTTTAAAGCAAAAGAGATTGCAGTATATTTATACAGTTGGTGGGAAAGAAAGCTGCTGCGCCCAATTCTCCATCACAAAAACAAAAATTTAATACACATTAAATTAAACAATAAACATTGTTTATTCCATACGCCAGCATTGAAGAAAACAACAAAGCCCTGTTAATTGGGGATGGGAACAAATACAGGCGTGTCATAAATAACACATTTTTATTCAATAAATTGAATGAATGGAACAGAAAAAATACATTTTTTGGCAAAAATGCATTTAAGAAAAAATAATCATAAATTTCAAATGAAAACAAAAAAAAAAAAAAAATTACAATACCACCAGATGCTCCATTAAAGCGGCAGCGACAGCAGACTGGGCCATATTTTGTATTCATCATCTGTGACGCTGCCATTATCAGCGACAGAAGTGGCAGCAGCAGTCGTAGAGTCATCAGTCGTCTGTCATCATTGACATTCACAACACAATGAATGACATGGTGGTAAAACATCAACAAAAATTCGATGATGTCTGAATTTGAAATGAAGAAATAAAAAAATGTTCGCCATTTGATTTCAGCTGCATAATGAAGTCAATGCTTCACATTAAAAATAAATTTGGAAATTCAAAATCATAGCATTGAAAAAAAATTAAACAAATATTTGAGAAGGCAGAATTTTCAATTTATTTTTAAATATTTCTGTATAAAGAAGACCCAAAGAAGGTATTCCGTGTATAAAAGAGTTATGGACTTTTTTCTGTATCAGAGGGATTCTTAAGAGGGTTCTATTTATGGAAGACTTGAGAGAGGTATTCTAGTCATAGAAAGCACATCAAATTTCCTCATTTTTGAGAATACTTATGAATTTTTGTAAATGTATTGAGAGGCCTTTAAGAAGTCTTCTATATAAAGTGAGTCCTTAGAAAAAAAATCCATGAAGGGATTTACATCTTTTATCGAACTTTTCAATTCCGTCCCTTCAAACGGCCACTGAAGGCCAAATTTTGCTCTGCGGTATTTTGGGCTATTCCCGGCGAAGCGCTTGCTTGAGCTGATCGACACTTTGGTATTTTTTAGTGCCAACCTTGC